GATCATGGATTACTATCAGTGAACACTACCAAAACTTGGTATTATGACGACCCTTACATTTTAGCAAACATGGCAAAACAAATTGTGTATCTAAATGACCCTAAAGCCGGGAGAGGTTGGAAAGTTGTTTAGAAGATGGATCATTGGAGCGTGTATGCTATACTAGAACAAGACTGTACTGACGACGACATCGGCAATGTTGTTGACCAACGTCTTGAATCTTCGATGGAAAGTGGTGTGAAAACACTCCGAGATACTAATCTTATCCAAGAACCATTTAAGGTAGAAGGAGTATCTTCAATCGAAATACCGATTCAGTCGATCACAATTGACCTAGGTAATATTCCACGATACAATGGTCCAGTGCACACAAACGACGATGGTGACGTACCTATAGATGATGAGGAATGGAACATTGAAAATGGTGATAACGACGAAAGTGAAAGTTATTATAGTTCGGATGAAGATTAAGGCAATTTATTTGTAACTTTTTTTGTAAAACACGTGAAATGGTTAATGCATTATATAGAGTGATGGAAAAAATGGTATGAATGATTCCCATTTTATATGTGAATTACTTTGTAAATAAATTTGTTTTATTTGTATTTTATAATCAATTGTAAGCAGAATAAAAAAAAATTTTAAAAACCAGTTTAAAACATAATTGCACGGCGTATAACAATTTTTGGTCGCACAAGCGTTTTAATTTTACACCGGAATATTGAAATTTCAAACACTTGCATGACGAATACATATATTTCGTCGCTCAAAGTATATTTGCGCAACAAAATATATGTATTCGTCGCGCAAGTGTCTGAAAATTCAATCAAGGCATTTTTTTTCGCGAAAATTTTAAAAAACTTGTGCAACGATTTTTTAGCCTTGCGAGACAAAGACTCTATTGTGCAAGATTCTATATTTTAACCTCTTGTCTCTCCTTCCACCCCTCACTTCCCTCTTCTTCCTTTTTTCCCCGTGCGATACCCTCTCTCTCCTTCCTCCGTATCTTCATCTGTCTCTCCATCCCTCTCTCCAGCCGTCGCGTCTTCGTCTCCAAAAGATAATTTCCTCTTCAGCTTTTATTTTCAATTTTCTTTATTTACCATGTTAATTAGGGTTTTTGTTTTTTTTTTTTGTTTGTTTTGTATTTCAAATTGGGGGTTAGAATTAGGGCATTTGGGTTAGATTTAGGGTTCATAAATTGGGGGTTACATTTAGGTTCTTAAATTAGTTTTTAGGGTTCTTAGTTGGGGTTAGATTTAGGTCTTAAATTAGGGGAACGATTTTCAGCAATGAGGTTAAATTAGGTTTTCTTAAATTGGGGGTTAGATTTAGGGTGCTTCATTGGGGGTTAGATTAGGGTTCTTAAATTAGGGGTTCTATAATTTCAAGTAAAAGGTTAGATTTAGGGCCTTATCTCACTCTTGATTGAATTTTTTTCTTATTACCATGCAAAGTGATTCAGTGTGTTGAGAAATAATGGAACTAAATGAACTTACTACTATCTTTAGCTTTGTTCCTTGGTTTTTCGAGTGGGGTTTTTGCTACTTTGATGTTGAATTTTGGAATTGGATGTTGGTTGAAGTTTTTGGTTGAAAAACTTGATGTTTGTTGCTATATGTAGGTGGAATATGCGGAATGCAGAACCTGATAAATGTTTACACTCTTTCTTTCTTGGAAAGTAACCTAAGTTAGACAATTGGTTTCCCACCCTATAATAATTTTTATTCGGTCGTGCCATTATGGTAATTGAGTTGCAGTTCCCTTTCCTACAAACGAATGCAATGACATTGATTTTGTAACATCCCACATCGTCCAGGGGAGTGATCCTTAAATGTATATTCCCATCCCTACCTAGCACGAGGCCTTTTAGGAGCTCACTGGCTTCAGGTTCCGTAGGAACTCCGAAGTTAAGCGAGAAGGAGGACAGAGCACTCCCATGATGGGTGACCCACTGGGAAGTTGCTCGTGAGTTCCCAAAAACAAAACAGTGAGGGAATAGTAAGCCCAAAGTGGACAATATCGTGCTACGGTGGAGTCGAGCCTGGGATGTGGTGAGGACATGGGCTGGGATGTGACAAACGGTATCAGAGCCAATCCCTGGTTGGAAGTGTGCTGACCAGGACGTCGGGCCCCTAAGGGGGGTGGATTATAACATCCCACATCGCCCAACGGAGTGATCCTTAAATGTATATTCCCATCCCTACCTAGCACGAGGCTTTTTGGGAGCTCACTAGTTTCGAGTTCCGTAGGAACTCTAAAGTTAAGCGAGAAGAAGGCCATAGCACTCCCAGGATGGGTTACCCACTGGGAAGTTGCTTGTGAGTTCCTAAAAACAAAACCGTGAGGGAGTGGTATGCCCAAAGTGGACAATATCGTGCTACGGTGGTGGAACGAGCCCAGGATATGGTGGACCTGGGGCGGGATGTGACAATTTGGTATCAGAGCCAATCTCTGGCCGGAAGTGTGCCGATGAGGACATCGGGCCCCTAAATGGGGTGGATTGTAACATCCCACATTGCCCAGGGGAGTGATCCTTAAATGTATATTCTTATCCCTACCTAGCATGAGGCCTTTTGGGAGCTCATTGGCTTCGGGTTCCGTAGGAACTCCAAAGTTAAGCGAGAAGGAGGCTAGAACACTCCTAAGATGGGTGACCCACTGGGAAGTTGCTCGTGAGTTCCCAAAAACAAAACCGTGAAGGAATGGTAAGCCCAAAGCGAACAATATTGTGCTACGATGGTGGAACTGGACCGGGATGTGGTGGACCCGGGTCGGGATGTGACAGATTTCTTTATCTAAGTAGAGTATTGTTACAACTAAATTAAATGTACTAGTAACTAAACAAACAACTTGCTGCTTGGTCCGCTGTTCTTAAACAAGAAATCATGAAGACAACAATTTAGCTTTGTTCCTCAGTTTTTCAATTGGGGTTTCTACTACTTTGGTGTTTGATTTGGATATTTGTTGAAATTTTTTATGTTGGTTGCTGGATGTAGTTGTTGGATTATGTAGAATGCATAATCTAGAAAATTTGTAACTGCTTCCTTCTTGGAAAAGAACCAAAGTTAGAAAATTGGTTATGGATTTCTCAGACAAGTAGAGTATTGTTACAGTTAATATAAGTTAACCGAATGTACTAGTAACTAAACAACCAACGTGCTACTTATCTTTAGCTGTGGTCCTCAGTTTTCGAGTGGGGTTTCTGCTACTTTGGTGTTGGATTTTGGAATTGGATGTTGGTTTAAAATTTTGGTTGCAAAAGTGGGGTTTCTGCTACTTATTTTTAGCTGTGTTCCTCAATTTTCGAGTAGGCCTTGTCTCGCTCTTGATTGAATTTTTCTTATTAACTGAGGTAACTTTTTTTTTTCAATGTGATGAATGTATGACTATGTTAAAGAAATAATGTTGTAGCTTATTTAGTCATACAATCGGACGTAGATAGTTATAGAAATAGGGCCATGGGGTTTTCTAATTTGAAGATCATAAACAGCTTAATTAGCCTACTAATGGTTCTCTCTCGAAAGTCTTGACTCCTAAATAGATAGAAAGTGTTATTTGTTGCTACTCACTCTTTTATAAATATAGTGCATTGTTAATTATTCCAGTTAGCAAGCTCTATTTATATCCAATAGTCATATGATTTCTATATGTAATGTGGATGTTTAAAGAGACTAAGAATCACTTTGGATGATCCCTTTTCTCATTACTACCTGTGAAACTATTAAGTAATTATGGTGGAAATTGTTTGAAATTATGTTGCTTAGTACATACACACACAACTTGCATACATCAACACACACACACACACACCCAAAATCAGCATATATACATGGACACACACACAGACATAGTACATAGACACACACCCACAAACATAGAGCACGTACATACAGACGGACGCATACACTCATAGGCTATGATTTTGCCTCCAACTACTCCTTTATGCTAGTTTCTTCTTATAAGTTATAATTGTTGGGTCTATATCCTATCTGAATTGATTAGTTTGTGTATAGTATATCAGTTTTAAGTTTTGTTTCTGGCAAACTTGAATTGGGTTTAGAATTAGGGTTTTTAAATTTCGTTTTAACTTTAAGTTGAAATTATTAGTATGTGTACGGTAAGTTAAATCTTTGTGTACGAAACAAATTGATTTCCAATTTTGTAGATGTCACACCTTATTAGAACCCAGAGGGCGATGACTTCTACACCTAGTCAGACGGTTACACCCAGTCTGACGACTACACCTACTAGTGTCACCACTGCTCCGGCAAAGATTGACCATAGGTCGGTCAATCTAATTGACCCAGTTTGTCCTCCAATCCCACAAGTGCAAGCATCGTCGACTTCTTCGGTGACGTTACCTGTTAGCGCTCGACGTACTCACCGGCACCTTCGCACTACAGACCAGATGTCGCCATCGGGATCCACAACTGATGCCTCAGGTACATGGCCAGGTATACAATCCTAATTCACTCCCTCATTCCCATGCTAACTGAGTTTTGTTATTTTAGGTTCAATTTGTTAAGTTATGTCATGTAAGGATTAAAAAGTTGTCATCGTTCCGAACCTTTTATTAAATTGTTGTGATCACTGTGTTCGATACATATATTGTTTATGTTATTTTCAGGGTTTTAGGAAATGTTTTAATTATAGGGGAGGTTATGCTGAAATTTTAGTAGGATTTGTTATTAGTTTTGAGTTAATGATTTTTTTTTCATCTCTTTGCAGTGAAGAAAAACACACGGGGACCTTGTCAGCAATTGAAGCCGGTGAAGGTCACTCGGGTGACCAACGGTTGTATCCCAATCGGATATGATGAGCGACATCGGGCAGCACCAACGGCGGAGGAGCATAGTGCATTGACATGTCGTGCGGACCTTTTGCCCTATGCAGTGGAAGTCTTGGAAGGCGATGTTGGAGGAGACGAAGAACGTGATGCACAATCAATTGTTCGTATGTAGTGTCGCCTTTTTAATGTTTTTCATGTAAAATTTATATATTTATATTTATTACTGCCTTTTATTACTAATACTTTCAAATTATTTGTTACATTGCACACAAACTACAATTTGGAGGACATGGACGAGGACATGTCAATCGGCTCTTCTCTGAACGTTACAAGCAGTGGAAGAATGACCTACACCAATGTTTCCAGTAGTTTGATGATCCGCAGGTCGCTCTCGAGGAGGGTTGTCCAAAAGAGTTGGAGGACCGATAAGATAGTTGGGTTTGGCTTTGCGATCATTTTCAGAAGCTGGGCTATATGGTGCGTTTTTAATTACGACTTCTTTCATTTTACTTTTTTTAATTTTTAATAATGTTTATTATTATTTTTTCTAACTTTTAAGTATTACAACTAATACGTTTATTTTTTGTATAACAGAAGAAGGCGAAGGCGAACAAGATCAATCGAGAGAAGAAGACTCTTCACCACCATTCGGGTTTGAGGCCTTTCTCCTATAGGATGGAGGTATGATGAAAGGTATATATTACAACTTTCATTTCCAATTTTAAAATGTCGCTAATTTTTTTTTTCGTACTAACATTTTCCTTATCTTTTTCGATTTTAGGAAGGTTCAAAATTTCCAGAGATCGACGTCTTTGCTGACGTTTATGTTTAGCCTGGGGATGAGTTGACCAAGTCCCTTCATGTAAGTAATTTCTTATGCATTAAACATTTATACTAATTATTTCAAATTGTTTTCTATGAATAATGCTTTTTTTTTTTCACAGGTGACTATGGTGGAGAAGAGTTAGTCGGTGCTTCAGGAGTCTGCCTCCCAGCTTCCCTCGGACACACTGATTGAGTTTGTGGACTCCCCTGAGGATGCAGGGTTTCACATCATCACAGAGATGTTGGACCAGACTTTCGGTTGAAGGCCAGGGACATATTGTCGGGGGATGGGAAATGTCAGGCGGCGGGAGAGTGGAGCCTCGTCATCCTCGCAGTCAAAGAGCTAGGTTACGAGTTTGACGCGGGAAGTCATTGGCCTGAGGAATGAGTTGGCATCGTACAAGTCTCAAATGTCAATGCTTATACAAGCCCTCAGTTCCTCCGAAAAACGTCTCCCCGGTTTTTCTGCACCATTGCCCTCAGAGCCATTCCACATTGAGCAAACACAGCAATCAGGCCCGTCGACCTCCGACCCCGTCCCCAACTAGCAGCAAGATTACCAAACACCTTCGAACAACATGCCTATAGATTTTTTTCATAGTTTTGTTCCTGCTTTCTTTTAAAACTTTATATTTGTACGTACATTTTTATTTATATTATAAATAAAAAAAATTTATTCAATAATTTGCTTTTTTTTTGTCATTAGTATGAAATCTTTTTTTATTTTTTATTTTTAATTTTCCTTTTATTCTATTTATTTATTTTATTAAAAATTACACTTGCGCTACGCCGACCTGTCGCGCAAAATTAAGTGCGTCTTACTACTTCGTCGCGCATCACCACTCACCTCTTACATTTTTCGTCACGTAAACTTTTCGAGACAAACTAATCACAAAGCGCACTTGTACCTTTTTATATCGTACGACAAAAACCTTTGTCCGTATAACTTTAGCGCCACGAGTAATAAAGCGTTGCGCAATTGTTTAGATGCGCGACGAATTTGAAATTGTTTGTCACGCAATGTCTTTTTTCACAACCTTTGTGCGACAAAATCTACGCGACGATTTTCTGGTCGCCATAGTTTTTGTGCGACCTAAGAATGCTTTGTGCGACAAAATCTCCTTCGTCGCACAAACTGTTTAATTTAGTAGTGATATCGTGCAACCCATCTCTATTACACCATGACTTATGCGATGAAAGAGAGAGAGAGCAAAGGTTACTACATGAGATATACAAGTTTCTCTCATCTTCCACAACTAACCTAGAGGTTGGTATGATCCGGTATGGATTGGTTTCACCACTCAAAACGGCAGCCAAACCAATTAACATATAACAAATTGGTTTGTTTTGGTTTCAACTAAAATTCTGAGAGAAACCGAAAGATCAAGGAAGATCAAATAAAAAACTCGAGGATGAGTTATTGCGTAGCGGAAGTGTATGACACCGAATTTGGACTCGTCTAATTATTAAATGGAGCATTCATCATATTTAATTCAAAGATGGTTCATGTTCTCATTTAAGTTCATGAATAGTATTATGTTCAAGCATAATAACCTATTCATGGAAGGTTGAAGGTTCTTCCATGCCTAGTCTATTTAAAATCCCTACTCACTTATGGAAATATTTCATTCAGAAATTAAGAACGACTTTTAAACTTGGTTGAGTGAAGAGCGTTTTTTTCCTATCCTTAAAAACTCTTATCTCTTTGGTGGATTCCTTAGGACTGTTTTGGCATTGCTGAAATTATTTTGAAAGCAACTTTTTAAATAAATTGGGGATAAAAATGTGTTTGGTAATGAAAAAAACAGTGTTTTTTGTCAAAATTATGGATCCAAAACACCAAAGCAAAAGTAGTTCTACCCATTCTTCTGAAAACAACGTTTTTTTTCCAGCACAACAACCCCAATGACGAGTTGTTTATCTTTTAGTGTTCATTTGTGATTTCTCATTGATCGTCATTACCTGGTGTCACAAACTAAACCAATGTTGTGTGGTTTGGTTCGATTTTGGTTTTGTTTTCGAATTAGTTAACCCCAATTCCAAAGCATACTGTCATTCTAATTTGTAAATCTCAAACTTTCTAAAATTCATCATTTCATCTAATAGCAAATTTCTAAGGAAATAAAATGAAAGATGATAAGTGTAAAAAAAATAAAATATAAGAACGGAATGGTTCCGTTAGGTTTGAAGCGGTTTATAAAAGTGTAAAACCACGGTTGGACCGGACCAACTGTTTGGTTATGTTTTGAGATTCCTTGGTTTAGAGAGATTTTTCAAAATGACCGTTACATGAGGTGGTACACCACGTGTCACTATATAAATAGTAGAATATGGGTGTTAAAAAGTTAAAAGTTAAAATATAAAATTTCTCACAATGAAAATTTTCTCCTTGGTTTATTGATGATCCAAGCGAAATCAAACAGTCCACAGTTCGCATTGGCCGTTCTGGACTGTTCGACTAGTTTGGTTTTCCTTGTGCTATTTAATACAATAATATATTTACATTAAGAAGTGAAAAAAATATCGAAAACGTTTCAGTTGGACGGTTTGACCTGCTCGACGAGTTCGAATCACGAGGACATTTAACACTGAAGATTTGATCATTTTCTTGTGGTTCTTGTCATTAGTTTGAAATGCTTGACTTCAAATCTCAGGATTACAGTACGTATAATTAACTGTTTGAGAACAAAATAAGTACATTAGTATCAAATGACTATACTGTATACAAATCACTTTAGATTCAACATATTACGAGTTCGTTTGGATGTACTTTTAAAATGACTGAAAATGCTTTTGGTGAAAATATTTTTGAAACCAATCCTTAGTAAAAATGTAAGTAAATCTTGAAAATGCACTTAAAGTGCTTCCTGGAAGAAGCACATAACTGGTGCTTCTTGCATAAAGCACTTAAAGTGCTTTTGGAACCTAAAAACACTTTCTTTAAGAGCAAGTCCAGTGAGGCCTTTAGCCTGATGGACCGTGGACAGAACAAGACCAAATTGTTGGGGCAATCAAGTTCAGACCATGTGGGCTTCAGCGCCGGAGGGGGCCCAAGCGACAGGCCCGACACGAATCGCTGGCCCGAGAGCCCGAGGTACGTTAGCCACGATTTAAAACATGGGTCACCGGACCCCTCAAGGGAGAACCCTGGAATATTTGGCAGGGATTCATCCCGATTTTGATCTCGACTTAAAACTCCATTAAAAATTGTAATTTTAGCACAAAAATGATGCTAAAATGAAAAGGAGCAAGATTCTACCACTGTGAGTAACAACCGTGGTCGAGATTGGCCAGGTTTTGTCACGGAGCTCACTGGATTTTCTCGGCGGATTCTGGAAAAATGAAATAGAAAGCATGCACAGCGAAAAGAATAAAATTTAACCATTAAGTCTTCACTCGGAATCACAACACCAACAAGAAAATCCCAAATATTCAAAGGAACAAGGAAATCTCACCTGAAACTACAAGCTAGAGCTTGAAGCTCTCGAGTCTAGGATCACTGCACTTCCCAGTGCACCGATGGTGCATGCAAGGACCCAGTTATGTTCCTAAAGTTGTCAGGAGTCCAAATATACGAGTTCCAAGTTCATGATGTGACGAAATGGTAGGGAATTATTGTGATGCTCTCAGTGCTTTATATGAAATTACAAATAAAATTATTTTGTATTATTTTATAAAATAAAAAATATTAATATTTTATTTCCTATTGTTAGGGCTATTTAGTTTTAGGGGTGGAGATGCAAAAGACAGTTATTGTTCATTAAGGGCAATTATTGTTCATTGGGTGGATTCAATAGTGAATAGCCCTAGGGGGCTTTGCAACGCTGGAGTTGCTCTAAAAGTGTTTTCAGCCATTTTAAAAGTACATCCAAACGAGCCATACATTGTTTTTAGTCTTTTCAAATTTATTGCATTTTTTGTTGCTTAGGCTAACTCGTAAGAGAAAGATTTTAAGTTTAATTTTCGTAAATGACTAAATCGATATCAACTTATTCCTCACCTTCTTAGTGTACATGTCGTTATATATATAAGATGTAGAAAAAACTATTGCATTTTGAATTATAAGTGCTGCCACCCCAAGAATATGGTTTCGGTGTCATAATATTTAAAAAAAAAAATTTAAATTAAATTATCTAAAACCCTAGTAGCCGACCGTAGCAACTGGTGGACTAGTTCGGGTCCCGCGCGCATATAGAATGTGATGACCGAGAGAGAGCACCAAGATCACCACCGCCAGCAAAACCACCATCGCCATCACCACTGCCGCCGGCTTTTACCCTCCACCACTACTTTCTCCAAATTTCCATTAATCTTCTGTGAGATACCATCCAAATCAGCGTTTTCCAAATTAGAATATTGTGGCAGAAAACATTATCTGCCTGTTACAAAAGAAAATGATTTTTTTTAATGCTACAATATATTTACACTAAGGAGTGGAGGAATAAACTGGTGGCAAACTCGTTATTCACAAGATTCGAACTTAAAACTTTTCACTTACAAATGAAAAAAGAAAAAACTATTAGACCGAAATATTAATTGGCTCAAAAATGATTTTACGATCTTTCTTTCTGCTAAAGAGCAACTTCGTCTAAAGTTGTTATTATGGTGAGATTATATTGTTACAATTCCCCTCCTACAGGTTTCCTCTTGCACTACTAGAAAATGGGGCAATAGCCACCTGTTTTCGCTGCTAGATCAAATTCTCTAGCATTCATTTTCCTCTTCATCAAATTTATTTCGGTCGGAAAGAAAACGAATTCGTGGTACAGCCAGTTATACCTGACTCCTGCAGGGTGCTTTTGTCAAGAAGAAAGTCAGCATTATATTTCATTCCTGATAAATCGTATCCCTTAAGGCCTCATTTGATGTTTAGACATGTTGATTGATAATCTCATAATAAACACACCAATTAATAGTTTAAAGCGCACGCGGACAACTGATGCTAGATAAAATAGATGAGTTTGAAGAGGGGATGAAATATAGGAAAAGCTCTTTTTGTAAACCCTTCATCAAGTAAGAATTGGGGCTAAACCTATTCTATCTTTTAGCCTCATAATTCTTGTCTCAAATGAAGTTTTGCAAAAGTTAATATATGTGTATGCTTATGTGTATCCGTGACACTACTTTTGACGCGTTTTTGTGAAGCCCATTCCGTAACGTATTTTAACAATCTGAACTGTCTATCTTTTAGAACATCATTTATAGATCATTCTTGAAAAAAAATTTGATAAATCCAAGACCATTAAGACGTTCATTTGTAGCAAGGTTCTAAAAAACACTATGCACTAGTCGGGCGGTGGGCTGGTGCCTAACGCTTAGGCGGCTAGGCGGGGCCTAGGCAGATTAGGCGAGTTTAAGTATATTTATTATGTATCGTATAAATAAGTGTCTAATATACTTAAAAAATACATAATTGTATTGTGATACATAAATTGTAAAATAAAATGACATGCAAATTATAAAGTATTAGAATAGATTGAAATATGGGAAACAAGCATATAATGGGTGCATCCAATTATTTAACAAGTCTCTTACATTTTACTAAAAAATAAAATGCAAAATGAAAGTTATCAGTTTTTTGTCTAAGTGAGAGTTGTGACCTAGGCGGGTGCCTAAGCAGGTCTATGTGC